CCTGCTGAAGTAGAAAACCACACTGGAAAGAGTTATTTTGTCCTTTATTTTAGAATTATGCTCTTTGTCTTCCTTGTCTGCCAGCTCAACAGGGACTATGGGACCAAACCTTGTCTTCCTGCTCATTTGATTTCTGTGATTTTTTTCTGACTAGTCTTTCCAAGTGGTCTTGCATCTGAGTACTGGTGAGCACTAGGACTGTTTTACTTTCAGTATCAGATAAGATCAGGTGAGAGGAGATCTCTCATCATTCATTATTCTTGTAAAAGGGTAAGTTTCAACATCTTTTTAGTTAAGTGAGCAAGTCTGAAAATGATACTCTATTTTTTAAAATTTCATTTCATAGTTAGCTACTACTTTTCCTTCCAGGTGGAAATCACTTGTGAATATTATCATCATTCAAGGAGCCAGTAGCAGATCCAAGAGAACCTATCCCTTTTACTAGGAATGTCTGTTGTAGATACACGCATATTCTTCAGTGTCTGTTTCAGTTTGCCACAGGACAAAAAGTACAAAATGAGTTGAAATGAGGTGGCTAGTATAGGCATCTGAATTTTGTACACTGTGAGAACTATGGACTCAGCAGAGTAGAATTTGCTTGTGAAAAAAAGAAATTAAATTTATGAATTCACTGTCTCACACTAACCTTAATTTTGTCACCTTACCCTTGCTTGAAAGAAAAGTGGTTTAAAATAAGAATGTGGAGTATTATGAGGTCTGGCATATGTCAAGGGGAAAGAAACAGTCTCTGTAATTTACCTTCTTTGCAAATCAGACTTACTTGAGATATTGCTGTTTCCTCGCTATATAAAATTTGGAGTTCTAAATTTAATTTATTATTCTAATAGTATTGAAATAAATTCTTGTCACCTTTCTCATGCTTTTCAGTATTTCATATCTGAAAAGGTTTTGAGTGCAAATGGCCCTGACTTTTTATGAGGTCTTATATAGCTATTATTAATACCAGATAAAGTTTAGATTTATGAAGTCATTGCTATGCAGAGAGCTGGTACTTTTGCAGTATTTAGAATAAGCTACTTTTGTATTATGATGTGACTTGGATAGTAGGCTTTTGGTCTTGCGCGTTTTTTCACCTTTTAAAACAGGTCAACTCTCACAAATAGGAAACAGTAGTTTCTCTAAAGCTTTCCTCAGAAAGTCATCTCTGGAGTTGAAATAACGATTCTCAGTTTTGATTTTAAGGAGTTTTCTTTGTAAGAGAAAGTGAAGAGACTCAAATCCTAATTAGGAGTGGAAGCAGAGTTACATCCTTCTCTGTATAATCTTCACTATGGTATCATAGTAATGAATTCCATGTGAGTAGCGATGAAGAGGATAAGTAACAATAAGCTGAGACAGACAAATACACTGGAAATGGCAGTTTCACATTTTATATGTACATTAATTTGGCTGTGGTATTTCATCTTCTTTTTTTCTTTAAGCTTGCCATCATCTCCTGCTTCTGGCAAACCCCAGTGGAAACCATCTGAAGCAGATGAATTGTCTCCACCAAAAAGTAAATTGAACACCCAAGATGAGATTCAGATTCTTGGCAGCTTGGGAACTTCTAGTCGCACTCGAGCCAAGATAAAAGATGAGGACTCAGATAAAATTTTGCGCCAGTTGTTGGGAAAGGAAATCTCTGAAAATGTCTGCATGCAGGAAAAGCTGACTTTGGAATTTCAGGATGCTCATGCATCCTCCAAGAATGTGAAGAAGATTTTGCCAGAGAAAAGGGAGCTGAAGTTAGCCAGACTGAGACAACTGATGCAGAGGTCACTCAGTGAGTCTGACACAGACTCAGCTAATTCTGAGGACCACAAGAGCACCCCTTTGAAAAGAACTGACAAACCAAGGCCTCAGCCCATAGTGGAGAGTGTTGAGAGCACAGAGAGTTTGCACCTGATGATTAAGAAACACACTTCCGCAGCAGGACGCCGCTTCCCTTTTGGTATCAGAGTCTCTAAGTCTATGGATGGCCACAGTCCTTCCCCGACATCAGAGAGCAGTGATCCAGATAATGAAGCCCTGTATCAGTCTGGTACTGTACCTCAGAGCCAGTTTTGTGTAGACAGCTCTCCGTCCAGCACGGACAATGCCACTGCTCAAAAGGTTGCCACCAGCCCTAAGAGTGCTCTTAAGTCTCCATCTTCAAAGCGCAGAACCTCCCAAAATTTGAAACTCCGAGTAACTTTTGAGGAGCCTGTGGTTCAAGTGGAGCTAGCAGAGTCAGAATTAAATGAAGAAAAGGATAAAGACCGGGGCAAAGGACTTGTGCGGGTTCCACCTGGCTCTGGGGAGCCAACGGGGGACCAGCTGAAAAGGCCTTTTGGAACCTTTCGGTCCATAATGGAGACGCTGAGTGGCAACCAAAATAACAACAACAACTGTCAAACGGCAAATCTGATCAAAACCTCGTCGACTCTGCCTTTTACCTCATTAGGAAGGAAGACAGCAGACAGCAAAGGAAATCCAGCAGCTCTCACAAAAGGAAGAAACAAGCCAGTGAGTGCACTGAAGGGAGGAAGGGCCTTTTTTTTTCTCTTGTCTCTTTAAGTCATGAATAAATTTGACAGCTTCTTCTTCCTGCCTTTCTATAGCAAAAGGGGGCACCAAATACTTTACTGTATTTGACTTGTAGAAAGCCTATCCAGTGTTTTAATTTTGGAAGGTTTTTCAAGGAGTGGCAGATTCTGCTTGTGTATAGAGTCCATACTCTTAGTGCACATGGTTCACAAGTTCTGTGTTGAAAGCTTTCCACAGAGACGTGATTCACCTGGAAATGATGTTTGATATTGCTCTGATTGACAAGTCATACAATGAGAATGTCATGCTTGAATCCATGGGATTTCTGATGAGTAAATAACTGAAGGACTAGCCCTGTCCTGTCCTATAGCCAAAACTGATGAGGCCAACAGGATAAAAATAAGTGGTAGAATATAAGGAGGAAAAATAGCAGAAATGGTCCTTCCGGCTTCTGTGGGAGCTACAGTCATTCTCTAGATGTTGAAGCTGTCAGTACCCAGCCTTCTTTGACCACCCTCTCCTCATAGCACTGAGTCTTCTCATGAGAGAGCATATGGTTGGTCTGTAACAGAATGTACTGGATCCAGATCATCCCCTCTCTGCGGTCAACAGAGTGCACTTTCTGGGATCCAAACTGAGAAAGAGGGGTGTCTCCAGTTAGCAGGCTAGCTCTCTTGTTTGAAAGGAGAAAATACTTTGAACAAATGTATCTTCCAAGAGAAAGGAGGAGGCGTTGAATGAGAGGGACAGAAGTAGGAAATACTGCTAGGCAGTGCATTTCTGGAGCGGAGAGCAGAAGATCTGGAGATACAATAAAGAGTTGAGTAAGAGGGAATGGTAGATGATTTAATCCCCTGTGAAAGACAGGGTGGCAGGGAAGGGCTGGATGGAAAGACATGAGGTGAAAGAATCATTTCAAGATGAAAAAAAGAACATAAAGCAGGCCAAGAGGAGGATGAGGAATAGTGAATTATATACTGTAAAAAGTATGACAAGGTAACGTAAGAAAAACACAGGAAATTCTTGCACATAGAAGAGGCAAAATGAGTGGAAAGAGTAAAGAGTGAGCAGTCCATATTAATGAGTACTGCTAGAACAGTAGTGCTATGGCAAAATGCAAAATGAAATGAAAAATTCAAAGGAGACCTGATATGCTAAATTGAAGTGGGACTGCATTTATTAAAGTTTACTCAGAATCACAGTATGAGCTACTGATTTGAGCCTTTAAAGACATGCACCATGCAGTCAAACAGCTGATTTAACATAGAAGTATTTTTGTAACACAATGGCAATTTTTTTCGAAAGAGTGATTTAGATTTTATAGTGACAGAGGAAAAGGCAGTCTGTCTTCAAAGGTATTCTGATAGATTGCAAGATCATGAGCAGTTTTCGTAGTTCCCCAAGAAATTTGAAGAGTTGGGTGAGGTAATTCTAACAGTATTGAGGTTGCACTGTAAAATGCATGTTGTCTGTGAGAAGGCCATGTTTGCATGTCATTGTTGCCAACATCAAAATGGGGAAAGAATACGTTTTCATAGCAACCCAAAGGACCACAGCACATATCTCAAAGAGGTAACAGATTCAGCCTCATTTACTAACTCAAAAAGAAATCTGTTAAAATGTTACTGTGACTGTTTGACAGCATGTTGTGGTAGACTTCCATGTTATGCATGTGGTAAGCTCAGAGCATGTTTTTAACTGATATGATGTTGTACTTCCTCAGGGTCCTTACTTCAGCTACACCGATCTTTGCTCTAGCACGTTGAATGAAGAATTTCTGTGTAACTATGCTTGGTATGTGCTTATGCATGATGATGTTTAGCATCTCTGTTGCTTAGTTTTCTGAAATTGCATGTGTTTGTTAACGTTATTCATAACCGAAATACTGGAGTTGATTGAGGCAGAAGAAGGGAAACAGATGAACAGATGAGCATCTAATTTCCTAGAAAAAATGAAATTTATGATGGATTTCTGCTGATGTCACCATTGAACTGGCTACAGGATTTCAGTTCCAAGCAAGTATAGAAAGTATTCATACTTGTAAATCCACCAGGGAGTATAGCGCACTTTGGCTGAGTATTCACCCTCTGTTGAATGAAAGTCAAGTACCAGATGAGAATGGAAATTAAATTTTCTCTCATGAGGAGAGCAAAAAGACCACAGTTCAGCTCTAAATGGAGAGTAGAGAGAACATGAGGCAGACTGCTGTACTTTAAGTCTAGTGCTCTCCTGTTTTCACACATTTTTCTTACTCTCCCACAGACTTTGAAGTTAGATCTGTTTTTTAAAAGTCTGATAGCTTTGACTGTGTTCGAACTCCTTAATTTAGATGTGTTCTGTCAGGACTATTCAGGCAGATAGAGACCAGTCTCTCAAGGACTGTAAAGACATGTTGGAAAAAACAATATTTGACATAATGTGTGTTTATTTTATAAGTAAATGCTTTGTAAAAATTACCTATGATTTTTATTCAACTCTTAACACTCACAAATTCTTGGGATAATAATTTTTTTCTGTTGAACTAAGATGTAAATCCTTTCATTAGGCCTGGAAATGATTGCTATTAGCATGAAAATTATTTGATAACATTTGAAGATACTTCTGGGAAAATTATAAATTACTCATGCTGCAGTTCAGAAGCCTAAATTACTTTAAAGTTACTCTGTTCTAAGTATCTAAGGAATTTTTTTTGTTCACTTGTTTTCTAACGCCAGGACCTTCCTGTACTTAAAAACTCAATTTCTGTGATGGAAATAGGAGTCTTGTTCTGAAGTCATTGGCACAGTGTATATGAAACCAGAAACAGGACTGTAAAGTTTCCAAGAGGTTTCATTCTCTCCTGAAAATAAAGAGGGAAATTCCAGTGCAGAAAACTGACTGCACAGCAGCTTTTTTGAGGGAGCATCAGTGGGCAGCCTCCAGTCAAAGCACCCAGCTGCCTGTCCAGAGCATAAAGTAATACAACACTATTCATCTCATCCTTATGTTTGAGCCATCTCCTAGATGTAGCCAGTTGTAATTTGGTATTGCCTTGTGTAAATAAATGCTCTTGTGTGAGAAATCCCTGGCAGCATGGCATTTCCCCAGAAGCAGCGAGAGACTGGGAAGGTATGGCTGCCACTTAGAGCCACGGAGTTGCTGGGAGGGCGGAGGTTGGTCCTGAACTCCCAGCTCTCCCTCCAGGCACCATGTCCTGAACCTGCCTCCATGACAGTGGGCATGCGGAAGACCAGAGAATAGGAAACAAGGAGCAGAGTGCAGCAGGGGCACAGCTTGAGGAGGCTGTTTTTGTATCCACAGGTTAAGACTGAAGTGAGCAAATTGTGAGCCAGAGTCTGTGGCATGAGATTTCCAAATAGCACACAAGAATGGAGGATGTATTGTGCTTTTCAGAAATCAGAACGCAGACCTAAAGGCTCTCAGAGCTTCTAAGTCAGCCCTTTAGCATGTGTTGTGGTTTTTGAATGGCCAGAGGGGTGCCTGTCATTAGTCCACTGCACATTGCCTGGTAGCCTGTGAAATCATGTACTACATGATGTAGTGCATCATGTGTACTACAAGCCACTAGACGCTGTCTGAATTTTCCCTGGGTGGTCTAGGGAGACTGTGTAATTACCATTTCAGAGCTATTTTGAAAAAGAACCTTTCTGGAAAACAGTGCATTCTTTGGTGTTTTAAACTTTTGTAGATTGTTATATTGAGGGGTTATATTTCTGGACACAGTTCCAAACCCATTTTAACTCTAGACACTTATATAGGGGGTTTTATTAACATATTCTGAAATCTGAAGTCATATAAAATCTACCTTCAGTCAGATGATATTCCTGTCCACCAGTTTCCAGCTTCTTTTTCTTCAGCTTCTGTTTATTTTGTTTGTTTTATCTTTTCATTCAAAATACCCAAGTACATCAAGGCTTTGTAGTTAACTTTTTCAGATTGGTCACAACTTAATAGTAAAGAGTTATATTAAATTTTCTAGTGTGCTTTTAAAATTTGATACACCCTATTTTTCTTAAGGCACTAGAGTAAATTTCAGATGTGTAGGTTGGGTTGGGATATTTTTTCCCCTTTGGGAAGGATTGGCTAGTTTCTTGCATATTATGACTCCAAGCAAATGCTTGTAGTTTTTTCCATGTTAAATATATGCCAATGAACAGTTCTTTCTCACACTTTAAATCATCTGAGTTCTGCAGTACATTAAAGTAAGCACTAATTCACCATATCACTGCAAACCCCTGTATTAGCTGCAGCTATCAACAGCAAAAATTGCTTCGTATGTCAGGAGCAATCAGCAGAATCTACCATCAGGTTTCTGTCAGATAGTAAACCGAGCATACTTCTAAAATAGTAAGTGGATCTAACCGAACAGATATCCCACTGCCAGACCTAGTGCTGGATAAATTACAACTTCAAATGTATACTCTAGAAAAAGGATGCTTATCTGTATGTCTAATAAAACAGTTACGATTCAAACTAGTACAGCATAGAATCAATATAAAAGTAATTTAGGCCTTGTCCCATACAATTTACAGTTGTTGTGTTGTGAACTGTTATGATCATGCATCAGTGTCTGTTGCATGAGGGGATGTTTAGTATCTCTGTGGTGACACAGGCACCAGAAGATATTAGAAATTTGGTTAGTAATTAGTAATATTGGTAATAAGTTTCCTTCAGGTCAGCAGGCACAGTTGTAAAAGGCACTTCTGTTCAGCATTGTCGCCTACAGGTGTCTGCAATAGCTAAAAATGATCCTCTTGCCAAGGTCACAGTGCAACTGTAGAGCTGCAAAATGGGGTCTTCAGAGTGCGTAGTGAGCCTCTACATGGGTGACTCACCCACAGGGTCTTTCAACACTGTAAGTCTAAGCTAATGCAGTAGTTAATTGATGCAAATTATCTTAGTCTTAGAAAGCATCCTTTAATAAAGCTTCATGGTTAATGCTAAACATACTGTTGGTAACAGCAATGCGTGTGAAGTGCCAAAAAGTAATTATGGCAAAAAAAGTTAACTGCTCCTTTTTTACCTTCTCAGACTCAGTCCTACAAATTCTACCTCCCCTAGCTCAATTCTATGTCTTTTGCTCTTGCTTTGGGTATGTGGGAACAGTAATTTAGATGAATGAAGGGGATTTTAAAATAAAATGATCCCTCATGCTCTCTTATTAGGATCCACAACTGTGGTGCCTGAGAAGATCAGCTTCTGTTAAATCCTGAAGTAACCACAAGATTTAACCACCTGAATATCAGTCCTTGAGGATATTTGGTTCTTTGTGGTGATTGTAAATGGGAATAAAGCTATGCTGGTTTAGAAGAATCAGGCTCACAAATTTGTGAGTTTAAGGCAAACTTCTTATACACATACTCTTGCGCTTTGCTGTAGGTTTTCAACCTCCCTCTGGCATGTGTCCTTTGCAGCAACAAACTGGCTGGTCATAACTGTATTGTAGGAGTTTTACTGTTCAGCAATAACTAAAAGTGAGCCTTTTAACCTGTTTGAAAGTTGCTGTAGGCTGGATGCTTAATCAAAAATCCTTCAGCTGGAAGGTTAATTGAAGAGAGGGGGAACATACTGGGGATTCAGAACAAAGACACATGAAATGAAGTGAAGAAACTGAGTGTTACAAATATTTAGTGTTTAATTTTTCTACTTTAATTGGCAAGATATCATTTGAGTCTCATGCACATTAGATAGATTTAAATTTTTTTTTTTTTAATTTAAGTTTACCTAGTGTGGAAATGAAGACACACTGTAGAAAATTATCCTTACCTGTGAGATTTTACCTAAATTACAGTGTTAAAAGAGATATAGGCCCTGTGGCAGAAAGATAATTACTGCTTGCCATTTTTCCTATGGCCTTTGCCACCATCTCCTACTTAAGCGGACACATAAAGTAAGTCAAATGAATAACCTTCTGAAAGTGTTTATTTCTCTCTGATGATTGTTAATGGGGACTAGATGATTCCCTTACAGATAGTCAGAAATAAACAGGGTATGTCTAATGTTTGTGTAGTGGATCTTTTTATCACTGTGGTACTTTTCCCTAAAGGATGAGGAATTTTTGGACATTGTGTCTATTATTGCCAGAACATTATGACAGTGTACTAATTAATACCATGACTTGAAAGTTCCTCATTGTCCCATTAGTTTCCAATTTTGATTTTAGAATAGTAGCTACAAGAAAATCAGTAAGAATCCACAGTATTAAAAAGTATTTTGTGTAGTACATGTCTACAGAAATAAGTCCAGAGAGAAAGATTAATTCAGAGTTCAATACTTGCAAATGGAATAAAATAGCGTAAACAAACACAAGGCAGATCTCTCTATATTGTTAGTGTTACTGTTACCGAAATCGGGAATAAAACCTCTTAACACCAATGCAGTATTAAGAAGCAGGCACTCCTTTATTGCAGCGCTGGGGACATGGGGGATAGCTCTGCCTATCATGTCCACCTTAGCATCAAAATCCCACAGTTTTTATACACTTTTTCTGTCAAGTCATTGTTACATAAGTTCTTTTACATAAAAATGCATACTATATTTGCTCTTAAATTTAACCTTTACACTGATTGGTTCTACCTATTACACGATCTTATTAATATTCAAATCTTACTATATTCATTAGTCAAACCTACTTAGCTCTACTGATTGGAATCCTTGATATTCAAATCAAGATGGGAAGGGGTAAGGGGATTGCCAAGCAGCATAATTGGTGTCCATTTTGCTTAACTAGGATCAATGACGGTTTTCTTAGTTTCCTAAAACAAAACTTAAAAAAAATCCAGTAACTACCTGCTGAGGTACCTATGGTTATCTCTTTGAAACTTAGCAATCCTATGGTTACTTATTTCAAAACATTCAACTCTATAGATACTAAAACACTGCACACTATTCCTATAGTTACCTATTTCAAACAATACTTTATAGTTAAAATTCTATGGTTACACACAATTCCTGGAAATACTTAAACACAGCACACCTTTACTTATTCCATTTAAAATCAAACCGATTTTTATATCAAATCTCATTTCATTTCAGATATTTTAACATTACTATGAGTAATTTTCTTCTTTTTCTCTCCAGGCATGATGACATCAATAGGAAAAGCTGGAAATCCAGCAGTCAAAAGATTGCTGAAGAGCCAGAGCTGCAGGAATTCTTCCTCTAAACCACATCTCATGATGTCTCCCTTTGTTTGAAATACCTGAAATATATCCTTTTGAAACACTAATACGAGACATACCCTTCACCAGCAAAACAGCAGCTGTTAGGATGCCTTAATTTGTAGCAGTTAGACCATATATAAAACTTTTTAATGATATATGTGTATATGTAAGTTGTTTGTAAGCTGTGCTGTGTAAAGGCATGGGTGACCAAAAGTAACAATTTGAAAATTGTTATGACACAGGCAACCTCCAAAATGTTTGCTGAGCCACTGAACATATTTTGTACTTTGTGTCTTGCATGGGTATATTGTCATATATCTTTATTTCCCTTTGTCAATGGCATATATTGTCAACGTTTCAGCCAGGACTCTGCTTGCTCAGCTCCTCAGTGAGACCAAGGCAAAAGCATTGATTTTTTTGAGTATGTTTTTCTGTTGTTATGTCTATTTTTTGTAAAAAGGAAATAAAGACAGTGTTAATAGGACACACTGAGTGCAGATACTTTTCATACTTCAGTGTTTCATCTTTCAAGCTTTAAGTGTTTTATTGGTTTTTCAGTGTTCATTTGATAATGATACAATGTCCAGTACCAGGATTTCAGTTCAGTTAATCAGCTGAGTCAAGAATTGCTTTAATGTTTAGTGTAGCCTTTTCAAGTTTAAAATGTGTGGAAATAAAAAGAAAGCATAAATGAAATCTCAAATTACCATTTATTGTTACTTGCCAAACACTGGCAATGCACTAATCTCTGTTCAAATCACCAAGTAGCTCCTAAGACCTACTCCATATTCTTTCAAAGCTATCATGATCCTTTTATTCGATGTTCTTTGAACCTTTCAGAGAAAATGCAATCTCTTACTGAATTCACTTCATTTCTGTTAAACTATGAGCATATTCTGCAAATATGTCATACAGCACAACATTCAAAAGCAGACTACTAGGCAGTCTTTTATTGACACATTTATTTATATCAAATATGTATGTATATGTTTGCTTTATTTTGATTATATTGATCTATTTCCATTTGAAGACTGCTACGATTTGATGAGAAAGATCCAAATACACGAGGATTTATTTCGCTGGCTGTTCTGATAGAACATAGGGAGGTCACAGGAAGTTTGCCAAGGAAATTTTTTATCACGAAGACAACTATAGAATCAGAGTGGTTTGAGTTGGAAGGGGCCTTTAAAGATCATCTAGTTCCAACCTCCCTGCAGTGGACAGGGACATAAAAAATTATTAGATTATGCAAATTAAATTCCTGCAATTGCAGAACTAGTAAGTAAATACTTACTAGTATTTACTCAAAAGGATTTTGGTTAAGTACAATGGAGTTGCTTTCTATGCAGTTTCTCTTGTCTGTTTCTTACTGTGTTCATCTTGACTGTTGGGCTTTCTTTCTGGACAGTGAGAAGAGAGAGGGACTTCCTGAATGTGATTCATTCTACCTATTACAGATAACTTATTTACAGGAGTACCAGTCCCTTCCTACTTACTACAGGGGAAGTTGAGGTAGTAGAGCTCCTGGAAGAGCTACTTAGTATTTGGATGCCTTTAATTAAGTGAGATAAATGTCTTTTTTTGGGTCAATCTTCAGAGTGATGTCATGTTTGGCCATACAGCCACCATGGACCAAGATGATTGAATGCCCCAGGCACCCTGCTTACAGGCTTTGGATAAGCACAAAGTACTACTGGATAAAATGGAGCCAACTGAGACATCAGCAAAAAAACTCACAAATAGAAATAATAAAAGCATGCACTTACACAAATTAAATTCTGAGTTTCTTTCCACAGTTCTTATCTGTCATTTAGCAACATTTTAATTTTTGAGCTAAAGTAATAAACCTAGCACTCTAGCTGACTTGAGCTGTGTTGTTTGAAGAAACAACCAAACCTCCAAAAATACTTGTCAGCCAGGAACAGCAATACCTCTAACTGGGCCTCCTGTCATCTGCATGCATATGAAAAATCTCAATGCAAAGTGAGAAGAGACACATGTGCTGCAATTGCCAGAGTGCTGAAAGAGAGCATAAGAAGGAGGGATCCTGTGTCTGGTAAATGAACTTGAAACAAATTGCCAATTTGCATTTTTGAGAGTGTGAAGAGCATTGACTATGGTTATGTGAATGGCAGGAGCAGCAATCCTTCTGAGTGATCTTGACCGACAGGAGATGTGTAAATCTGCCATAGCTATCTGTAGTATCTAGCTGAAGCAGGGGATGAAACTGAACTTCTGTGAAAGGATTTGAAATAGACCAAGGTGTAAGTATTGTCAAATCCTGGAAGAAAGAAATTGCCTGTTCTGGAGACTGAGGATTTAAAAGTCACCTGCTCTCTGCAGGGTGGCAGTTTCTACAGAGCGTATTCTCATACAGCACATGGTGAATCAAATTATGCAAGTATCACAGGGCAATAGAGATTACTAAATGAGATAGGATTGCGATGCCAGAAGACGTTCAGAGTCTGTCGTTAAAGGTATCTGCTAGGTAAATGATGTGTCAAAGCATCCCATCCCAGTTAACTGGATAATTGAATACAGCTGGGGAGGTCTGGGTGTTTTGAGTGAGCTACACATGCTGTTCATATGGCTCTCCACAGTTCATGAGCATATTGGGGCAGAAAGCAGTTTCAGTGCTAGCTAGTGCAAAAGAGGGCCAACTTGATGAAAGCAAGAAAAGTAGTGTCTGGAGGGTTTTCTCTCTGGAGAAGGTGAACTCATGTTGTATAAACTGCTGATTTTATTGTTCCTAATTTGTAGTTTCTTTCCTACCTAGGGCCTCAAAGCCTACACGTGGTACGCTCTGATGTCATGCCTGTTAAAGAAATGCTGATTCTGTGATCTTCAGCTGGCTGAAGCGTGTGCTCTGCATATTTGTAGCCTTAGTAGCTATAGAATCCAGGTGCCATAACTCCTTCTGTTTGGTTTATAATACTCCACGCAGATCCCTCCTGGCATGAGTAAGTCAGGCTTCTGTCAGCAAAGCATAAGTATTTCCAAGGTAGAAGAGCTGATTGGGGATTTTCCAGCAAACAGCTTCAGAAAATATCAGTTGCCCAATGCTTTTAACAGGAGCACAAGCCCCTTTTGATTACAGTCCTTGGCAGGAAAGGTCCTTCTCTGTCTACTCGGAAACTTGTGATCAAAAGAAGGTAGTGAAGTTATTTGCTGGTGAATGAACGTGTGTCCTAGTAAAACTGTATCTTTGAACACCACAGATACAAAGAATGGCTTTTCATGTTCTGTCACCCTGAAAGACGTTAGAATAAGACTTTCCTATGTTTGTCCTGTAGTTCTGTACCAAAGGTGATAAACAGGGTGTTGGAGAGCAGTAGTGAATTCCCAATGTCATGTAGTCTCTGTCTCTCCTCTTTTGAAGAATGGAAATCGTTTGCTAGGAGCCTTGTTTTTTCATCATTGATCGATTCATTTGTTTGTTTCAGGTATTTGAGATGAGCAGCATATGGAAGCATGCAGTATCAAAATTTTAAGTATGGTACTTTATTTCATCAGCAGGATGGTGGGCTATGCTTTGTCCTGCATTCGTACAGCAGCATTTTAGTAATATTTTATTCATTTGCCTTTCAGTCTCCATATTAGAGGGCAAATACAATGGTTTACTAGGTTACTAATGAATAAATACAATGGTTTACTAGGTTACAGCATAGTTGGTGGATGAAGGAGGTCAAGAAGACAAGTCAGAAAAACAGTTTAGATTTAATATTCATTTCACTGTAACTGTCATTCAGAAACCTTTTCATAACATCAAGCTGACGTAAGATCAATGGCATAACTGAATACAATTGACAGCATAACAGTAAAAAAAATACTCCAAGATCCACTTATTTATAACAAAATGGTAACTGTTCTCTGAGAGCTGATTTGTTGTATGTTTCATCACCTACCATTACAGCAATGTCAGAATATGGCTATGCAACACAATCAAAAGTAAAGTAAAAATGTCAACACATCGTATGCTAGGTGTGAATTAATGGATTAGTGAATGAATCTCATGGTGAGACAACTTTTGTCTGCATGTAGACTAAGATTCATCTCCTAGTATCCTTGAAATATTTCTTAGCCTTTTAAAAACATACTTGTAAATTTGACAGAAAGGTCTGTTAAAATTGTAGTCCCTGAATTTGTAGCATCAAACTGCAAGGCTTAATTGTCTGTCATGAAATGGTTTCTCAATGTCATAATAGGAATAATCTCTCGAATTATATTACATTTCCTATTCTAAGTTCAGAAATGTCTTTCTAACTGTACATCAGCTGTACCCACGTATAGCCTGTTACATAATTAGCTTTTGTATAACCTTGTTTCTCTGTTTATAAATACATTTTGAGGTTGCAAGTAAGTACACAATTGTGCATGAGAAGTAAGTACAGCACATGCCCTGTAATCAAAACATCTGTCAAACAGGGAACTGTGTTGAGTATAGATTGCCCAAGTGAAAAAGCGCAAGCACTGGATACCTGCAGTTCATCCTCTGCTTCTGCACAGTATCACTGCTATATTACCTTCTTGCATACACCAGACATACTGCCCACTGTTTGTACCCATCTTTTCTTCACTATATTGACCAGTCAATACTTAACTTTGACACAGGTTTCAGAGACTGCAGCCAGGAGAAATCAGTTACGTTCTTAATATGCCGCGCAAGGGGTGCTACGTACATGGCATCCACCATCCATCCTCCTTGCACACATTTAATAACGCATCACTAGTTTTCCAGATACTTCAGATTTTGTAACATGGGCTGCTTTTGTCTAACATACATGGGCAGCTATAGACACTAGCTCAAGCCATCTGTTTCCTGAAGAAAAGGTTACTCTTTGACATCTGCACAGCCACTTCCTTTCCCACTCTAACAGCTAGGTGTTTTGGCAGCGTGCTTACTGGCAAGCAGTGTGCAGGAGGAAGGAAAATAATTATTCTGGGTGTATTTGGGAAACTGATAAGAAATCCTGAGGCTGTTAGAACACAGAGGTAGCTTTTACATATTTCTTTTGTCAGTCACCAATACTGCTCCAAGAAAAGACAAAATAAAATCATGTGAGTCTGGAAGAGAAGAGGTCTGAAAGGAGTTTACCCTCCTTCCTGTATAGATGTGAACATAAACTTACATACATATGGAGTACAGGTATCTGCAGAACCTTGAAAAACTGTAGAATAGGGATCAACACGGATTTTGCAGTGCAAAAAGGTGTGGCCCGACCATGTAAGTATGTGTCTATGTATGCATGCAGATTGATATGTGTATGGACGTGCAGCAGAAGAAGACAATCTACATGTTTCTTCTCAGATGTGGATGTGGACAGCAAACCTAGAAATATATTAAACAATTGTCATGGTTTAAGGCTGGGCCAGCTCTTAAAATAGCCCTGTTTTAGCCAAATCAGGACAACAATGAAACACAAAAGTGCAGAAGTACTAAGCCATAAGGCAACACTGAAAAGGGGTTACTTACCTCAAAAAAAA